TAACGTGGTGTTTCTAGGCTTTGTTGTCAGTTCACAGGGCATACAGGTGGACGAAGAGAAGATCAAGGCTATCCGATATTAGCCAAGTCCCAAGACGGTTGGAGACGTTCGAAGTTTCCATGGCCTGGCCGGATTCTATTGCCGATTTGTCCGAGACTTCAGCACCATCGCAGCCCCTCTCACAGAAGTCATCAAGAAAGACGTTGGATTTAAATGGGAACAAGCCCAAGAAATGGTGTTCAAGTCACTTAAACACCGGCTTATCCACGCACCTTTATTATCCTTGCCCGAATTTCTCAAGACCTTTGAGATTGAGTGCGACGTGTCCGGTGTGGGTATTGGAGCTGTACTTGTGCAAGAGAAACGGCCAATCGCTTACTTTAATGAAAAGCTTTGTGGTGCTACGCTCAATTACCCGACTTATGAAAAAGAGCTCTACGCATTGGTTCGGGCCCTGCAGATGTGGCAACATTATTTGTGGCCTAAAGAATTCCTGATACATACTGACCATCAGTCGTTGAAGCATCTCAAAGGACATCAAAAACTGAACAAGCGGCATGCAAGATGGGTTGAGTTCATCGAGACCTTTCCTTACGTGATCCAGTACAAGCAAGGGAAGGAAAATGTTGTGGCCGACGCACTATCCCGGCGATACACCCTGATAACTACGCTTGATGCCAAAGTACTTGGGTTCGAGATGATCAAAGAAGCCTACGCGACTGATCCAGACTTCCAGGAATTTTTTCTTGCCAGCTCTAAGTTTGCCCATGGCAAATATTACTAGAGTGACGATTACTTGTTTCATGAAAATAAACTTTGTATACCTAACACTTCTTTGCGGGATTTACTTGTCATGGAGGCACACGGAGGGGGCTAATGGGACATTTCGGGGTTCTCAAAACGCTAAGTGTGGTCTAAGGCCATCGGTGCACGGTGTGCAAGCTTGCCAAAGCACGCAGCCGAGGCGCAGGTATGTACACCCCGTTACCCATTCCAACCGAGCCATGGACCGACATCTCAATGGACTTTGTCCTTGGGTTACCAGGACCCGCCAAGGTAAGAACTCTATCTTTGTCATAGTAGACCAGTTCTCTAAAATGGCCCACTTTGTTCCATGCCATAAAACGGACGATACCTCAAACATAGCCGATCTATTCTTTAAGGAAATCATACGCTTGCATGGGGTTTCTAGAACCATCATGTCTGATAGGGATACTAAGTTCCTTAGTTACTTTTGGAAAACCCTTTGGGCTAAATTAGGAACTAAGCTGTGTTTTTCTACAACCTGTCACCCTCAGACCGACGGTCAAACAGAAGTGGTCAATAGGACCTTGTAAGCTCTCTTGCGATCGGTTATTAAAAAGAACCTTAGGACTTGGGAGGATTGTTTACCTCATGTTGAGTTTGCTTATAACCGTGCCATTCATTCTACCACTCTGTTTTCACCATTTCAGTTAGTTTATGGTTTTAATCCTCTTACGCCCTTGGATCTAACCCCTTTACCTTTCACCGAGCGTGTAATGGGAAAAAGAAAGCAGACTTGGTGAAAAAGATGCACGAGAAAGCAAGGGAAAACATCAAAAGGAAAACGGAGCAATTTCAGAAATACGCTAACAAAGGAAAGACAAAGAAGGTGTTTGAGCCCGGAGATCAAGTATGGATCTATCTAAGGAAAGAACGGTTCCCAGAAGAAAGAAAGTCTAAGCTTATGCCGAGAGTAGACGGGCCATTCACTGTTCTTGAGCGGATCAACAATAACGCTTACAAGATCGACTCCAAGGTAAGTATGTCGTCAGCTCCAATTTTAATATCGCTGATATCATGCCTTTTCATGCAGATGAAGCAGACTTGAGGACAAGTACTTTTCAAGAGGGGGGTGGGGATGATAAAATCATGGAACCATCGGGTGTAACGGTCGTACCGCGAGTCGAGGTTCAGGACGAGGAACAAGACTCAGCCACCGACCCAGACGATGTCCTGGCCATGCCAGCCGGGCCTATGACCAGATCACGTACCAGAATGCTTACGGGAGCGATCCAGCGTGTGCTTACCGGTCTTAGGAGCAAAAGCCAAACGACAGACCCAACACCAGAACCAAATCACAAGGCTATGACCGTGATCATGTACTCAGGTCCGAACTAACTTGGTTGGGGTGCTGTCTTGATACTCTTTTTCCTTACATTCGGGTTTGTCCCACTGGGTTTACCGAATGGGATTTTAACGAGGTTAAGGCATCACCCATCTCACAACCGTGGTTCGTTCGCAAAGTATGCTAAGGATCATCCGAGGAAGTTTGATCGTTTTTCAACGTTTTCTTTGCTTTCATTTATTTTCTTTTATTTCCTATGTATGACCGGAGGTCTCCTAAAGCCTCTATATAAAGGCATCTTTGTACTCAGATTTGGATCATCACTTTTTCTTAATAAAAATTATCTTTGAGTTTTTCTTTTGTTCTTCTTGAACTTTTCGATACTTGGTGGTTAGCCATTTGATTGTTTTGGTTTATCAATTAGTTTTCATCCTACTTGACGCAGCCTTCACCGGCAGAGAGTGAGAGAGATCGTGGTCATATCTGGGGCTTAAGGAATTTCGGGACTTGTCTCACACCCTAACATCCGATATCGCGACCCTTGTCCTTCTTTGTTTCCATCCCCTAGTTTTTGTTCTTTTTTTTGGATAAGGGCCTAAGGATATTCGGGTTTACACTCACGCCTTAGCATCTCTTTCTCTGAATCGATCTGGAATCAAAGATTTTATCAACCTCATCGAACCAAGTGTGTGACAATTCTAGGACGGATCTTATCACCCGCCAACGGTTTAGTAAACTTGTTTGTTTCTTTCTCCAGAATCAATCCCAAAATGATGAGATCGTCGTTCTTGGTTATCATCTCTGGTTAGGAAACTCCATAGTCGTTTAACTTTATTGATAATACTCAATATCTTCTCTTGCACTGATTTGTCAATTTTCCGTGAATATAAAATGCCTGGATCCCAAACTTGTTGATCAAGACACCATGTGACTTTTTGAAATTGAAACTTAATCTCTTCCATTGGTCAAAATGTGACTTTTTGAAATTGAAACTTAATCTCTTCCAATTGTCAAAATCGTGAATATCAGGCCTTATGAAATATTAAAAAATCCATCACGGAGATAACAGGTTCATCTTGGATGAAATGTGAACACCAATACATTCTAACAATAAACCATGAATGGGGCTGCCTCCACAGCTGGAGGCAATTGCCGAAAATGTTATGTCGAGACTTCAAAAACAAACTGATTGGACATATGTTTTTTCTGGGATCCATGACATTCCTTGCACCAGAAACTGCATCAACGAAATAGGGAAAAGATAACATATGTTTTCCGGTGAAAATTTGATGGCGATTTTGACCACCATCAAAAGGAAGAGAATTGATCAAAGTAGAATCCTCATCAAAAAAGTGGTACCCATCCAAACTTATTGTAAAAGAATAAAAGCGAAATGAAAATCTTCAGCTAAAGTGAGTTTTATGTTGATTTTTCGTATAAGGGTAATTGAAGAGAATTATTTTATATGTTGATTTGAAGTTATTGGCATTGATTCGTCAATCAATTTATGATAGTTTTTCGTAGTTGTAAAGGTAGAGAGGCAGTGATTACTTCATCTAATAACATGGTACTGGACTTCATGTCTATGCCATTGTTGACTGGGAAAAATATTTTCAACTATCAACTTTAAGAACCATATATTGTCGTAAGCAGAATATATGAAACTTTTTGTTTCAATCTTCTAAAGAAGTTGTTATCATTTTGCCTTCATCATATTATATTTCTGAATTACAACAAGATAATACTAACTCTTATAACAAATAGAGAAAAAATTGATTTTTCCTTTTTATTTCAATATTTCATTTTTTCAACAAATAGAAATATCATTGCTCACAAGCTGATTTTTTTTAGTTCTCAATCCTTAATAATTGATGTACTAGATAAATGATATTTTGGTTTGTCAATAAAAAAAAACATGATATATTATCTTTTAATTTAGTGTAAATTAGTTTGAAGACATTGCAGAAACAAAAGTTTTTAGTATTCACAATATTTATGATATACATAGTTTTAGAAGTTTTAAATGGTTGATTTGTTTTTTTTTTCATTTAAAATAATTTCCTTAACGATCGTAGTTCATATTTACAAAGAGAATAAAAAGAAGATGTAAATTTTGATTTTGGTTTATTTTTTCTTTGATACTTTCCTTCTTTCTTTTTTTTTTTTTGTTTTGGTTACTTTCCTTCTTCATTTAGTTCTTTCTATCATACTATCGTTTATTTTTAATAGTCAGGTCAATCAAACTTAATCTGTGACATAATAACTGCATCAGCGCTATTAAAACAAAATATCGGAAGAGCGTACTCATGGAGGAGGATGATTAGGGATCGACAAGAAATCTGTAGGAGGATCTATTCAGTCAGTAAGGCGGTTATTTGGTGGATTCAATGGGTGATTTGGCATCTGATACGGCTGACGGAGAAGATCTGGGGAAATTACCCAGTATTGGTGAATAAGATCGGACTCGCCCCTACTCATTATTCAGTGGTGCGAAAGCTGGAATGGCGAATCCTGCTAGATCTCCGAGATTATGGACTCGATAGGCAATATACAAAGAAGAATTTTATCTCAATCAATGATTTTGATGAGTCCCTATATGTGGATATATATGGGAGAGAGGTGAATCAAGAGAACCTTTGGTTTTCTATGATTGAATTTCGAATCGCTGGTTTTTGGGAAGAGTGGGCCTTTGCTTTTCCTCATCCGCTGTTGAAGGGATCTGAGGTCATCAGGAGATCTTCAGGAAAATATCACACCGGAGAGCAGGATCCACAGAGATTAGAAAATCAGGAGCATTTATTGGCAAGCGGGTATATAATGGTGGCCGAAGGGAGAGTTTTCATCACAACTTCTCATTTCGTTCTCAAGTTTCTCTCCAAGTTTTATACTCATTCACAAAAAAAATGCAACGATGACTCAATCAAATTTGATCAAGCATCACGATTCCGGAAAGAAAATGGAACAGATCTCTAAGAGGTTGAAGATCTCGGTTCCCAAGTTCGATAATTCCAATCTGATTGAGGGATACTCACGGACTTTAATCGGACGATGTATGAACCCGCAGGCTCAAGATATGAAGACACATTTGTTTATGCTTCCTCGTATTTGGAAGGTGGAGGAACGGGTTGCAGGAGCAGACCTGGGATTGGGTCGGTTTCAGTTCGACTTCGACCGTGAAGAGGATATCGTCGAAATCATGAAGATGGAACCCTTCCATTTTGACTATTGGATGCTCTCTTTGGTCAGGTGGACACCGGTGGTAGATCCCAACTATCCATCAGCAATTACTTTTTGGATCCGGGTTATAGGTGTTCCGCTTCATTTTTGGGCAGATCTGACATTCAGAAGCATTGGGAAAGCTCTCGGTAAGGTGGAAGCGGTTAACTTGAATGAAGGAAAGATTCAGGTTACAATCGATGGCTTGAAGCCACTGTGCTTTGAAACTCTGGTGGAGTTTCATAGTGGTGAAGAAACAACGGTCTTTTTGCGGTATGAGAGACTCTTCGGATATTGCCGGCAATGCTTTAGCTTATGGCATGATTATCAAAGATGTCCAGATCGTGTGGAAAATGCAGGTCGGCAAATGACGGAACATGAAAATGATGACCTCAGGATGAATCAGGGGCAGTGTCATTCAAAGCAGCTGTGGTGAATGGCAAGGCTGGTAGCGGCGAGTTGGTAAAAAGTGGGAAACACGGAGGCTCCTATAACGGCCAAGATAAAGGCAAAGGAAAGAACTCTAATTACCGTGGTGGACAGCGTAGACACCACTATGAAGATAACTTCAAACAAAACTAAACATGATCAGAGTGGCGATTTGGTGAAGGTTCGGTATGGTAAACTATCAGGCTATGTGCACCCCAAGGAGTGGTATCCAAGGATAGATGACGGTCAGAATAAGTTGCAACTAGAAGAGAAAGAAGTATCAGATAACACGGTGCTATCCAAAGGAAAATCTGCTCGGAAAAGCTTGTCTTTTGAAGACAACGACGGTGACACACAGAGAGACTCTGTCACAATTCTCAATGATGATTTGATGGTATCTTTACCAATTGCGGTCTCAACTATTTCTGAACCAGGAAATGATGTACCATCGAAGGAGGAGGCTACAGGAGCCGAGTACAAAACCGATGATCATGCGGAGGAACATATGCAATGTGGGATTCTCGGTATGTTGGAGGACGTGGGGGAACAAGATGGATTTGACAATAATGCGATAATGGAGAACGAGGAAGGAGAATTTATGGAACCCTCTGAAGCGGTCATCCAGATGATTGAGGAGATGACCACCGATAATGAGGAGGTCGAGAAAATGACAACCGTCGATGCGGCTATGGAACCGATAGTCTCGAAGGAAGGACATGCTAAGGAAGGGGGTCGCAGTAAACCAGAAGCTCGGAAGAAGAATACCAGGTCTAACATGCAATTTCTTGGTGGCAACACAAAAAAGCGATTGGTTCAAACACTGGTGTCTCCTAGGAAGAAACATGTGGCTAAATCTCTGAACCGTGGTGGAGAAGCTGCAAATAAGGACGATCCAAAGGGCTCTTTAAACCCGAAGATGGATCCCAAACCATAAAATATTGATTAAGTGATGAGAGTTCTTAGTTGGAATTGTCAAGGACTCGGAAACAGGTGGACAATAAGCTATCTTCGGGAAGTATGGAAGAAACATAGACCAGAATTTTTGTTTCTTTCGGAAACCAAGCAAGAAACCAAACATAGACCAGCGGTATCACACTTACTTTTTGCGGATGATAGTTTGTTTTTTTGTAAAACAACTAAGGATGAATGCCAGAAGATCTTGTGTATACTTAAACAAAATGAAAGTGTCTCAGGACAACAAATTAATTTTGAAAAATCTTCCATTCAATTTGGCCACTCAGTTACGGAGGATACTCAACAAGAGATGAAACAAATATTGGGCATTTCTAGAGACGGAGGCACAGGATCATACTTGGGCATACCGGAAAGTTTGGGTGGAGCTAAAAGTAAAATTTTCAACTTTGTAGCGGATAAACAACATGATCGAAGTAACAGCTGGACCTCGCGGCTACTCTCAAAAGGGGGTAAAGAAGTTTTACTTAAATCGGTAGCATCTGCGATGCCTACCTTTGTTATGTCGTGCTTCAGACTGCCTAAGTCCACAACAGCAAAGTTGACTAGTGCAGCAGCAAGATATTTGTGGAGTTCGAATGTTTCTCATAGAGGAATGCATTGGTTTGCATGGCCAAAAATGTGTCGAAGCAAAACAAAAGGAGGGATGGGTTTTCGAACGATGGAGGATTTTAATACGGCACTTCTGGCAAAACAACTATGGCGATTATTAGATAAACCGACATCACTGTTTGCGCGGGGTTTTTAAGGGCGATATTACAGAAATACGTCTCCCTTAGAGCCTTCTTTGCGGTCTTACTCGTCTTCTTACGGATGGCGTAGCATTATTTCGGCTAGATCTCTGGTTAATAAAGGGTTCATCAAAAGAGTTGGATCGGGTTGTTCTATCTCGGTATGGAATGACCCTTGGATTCCATCCTCTTGCCCGAGATCAGCCACTTGTAAGGGGTATAATTATTACCCGAATCTTATGGTTAATCATATGATTGATCCATTAACAAATACGTGGAATATGGGCTTGATAAATGCTATCATTGACCCAGGTGACATGGAAATTATTCGTGCCATTCCCATTAGTAGGACCTATAGTCCAGACTCACTTGGATGGCAGTTCACAAAATCAGGAAAATATACGGTTAAATCAGGATATCAAACAATGCAACAGTTCCCAGATAATCCTACAGAGGTTGCTTATGGTCCAGATATTAGAGCACTACAAGCACATACATAGAACATAAAATGTACTCCAAAGTTAAGACATTTTATTTGGCAAGTAATATCTGGGTGCCTCCCAGTAGCAGCTCAGTTACGTTCCCGAGGAATACAATGTGACACGCAATGTAATTGATGCGGGGCAGAGAGGGAAACCATTAATCATGCTCTTTTTGAGTGTCCCCCTGCTTTACAAACATGGGCTCTATCTCAAATACCAACGCCCCTAGGCGTTTTTCCGATGGAATCGGTCTTCGCTAATTTTGATTATCTTTTTTGGAGACTACCAAAAGGGATATGTGACACTCATTTTCCTTGGATTGCGTGGTACATATGGAAAGCGAGAAATGAGAAAGTATATTCGAATTTAGATGTGGACCCACAAATCACATTAAAAATTGCGGTATCTGAAGCAAATTTATGGGAAGAGACGCAAAGGTCAGAGGACGATCTAGCCCCACAACACAATAACCTTCCCCCAGAACCGAGAACCATTACACAGGGGAGATGGTGGTGTTATATAGATGCCTCTTGGAAAGATACGGATTCATTTTCTGGCTTAGGATGGTACTATTTTCAGGATGGAAATAGAGACAACATAATGGGAGCGAGGAATGTTCGGCGAAGTCTTTCACCTCTTCATGCGGAGATGGAAGCCCTCATTTGGGCTATACTGTGCATGATAGGAAACCATAAGACAGAGGTAGCTTTTGCAACGGACTTTTTGGATTTGGTGAAAATAGTGTCTACACCTAACGATTGGCCAGCATTTGCTATATACATAGAGGAGTTTGTGAAGATTAAAGAGAGCTTCAACTGGTTCACACTTTCACATATCCCACGCGCAAGAAATACAAAGGCCGACATCTTAGCAAAAAGTGCTCGTGTCTACTCTATCGATGTTATGTACGTAAATTCAGTACATCCGGTTTGGGTTGTCGAACCGTTCTAGGTGTTTAAGCTGTTGACAAAAAAAAAATAATAATAATTTCCTTAACTAAAGAGTGCAAAAAACTTTCCAAATGTGTTCAAAATTATTAATAACAGCTCCAATTTGTTTGTTTAGAATGCTATTTTATATACTGATGGTCTTAGAGAGTTTTATGTTGATTATTATGTGACAGTAGTTGAATATTGATTTGAAGTTTATGGCATCGATTTGTCCATCAATTTGTGATAGTTTCGTAGTTTATTATTGTGAATGTAGAGGCAGTAAGTAATTCATCTGATAACACGGTACTGGACTTCATGGCTATGCTATTGTTGACTGGTAAAAATATTTCAACTTTCAACTTTAAGAACCATATATTGTCGTAATCATAAAATATGAAACTTTTTGTTTCATCTTCTAAAGAAATTGTTATTATTTTGTATTCGTCATATTATATTTCTCAATTACAACAAGATAATACTAACTCTTATAAAAATAGAGAAAAACATGTTTTTTTCCTTTTTATTTCAACATTTTATTTTTTCAAAAAATAGAAATATCATTGCTCACAAGCTGATTTTTTTTAGTTCTCAATCCTTAATAATTGATGTACTAGATGCATGATATTTTGTTTTGTCAACAAAAAAAACATGACATATTATCCTTTAATTTAATGTAAATTAGTTTGAAGACACTGCAAAAACAAAAGTTTTTAGTATTCACAATATTTATGATATACATAGTTTTAATAGAAGTTTTAAATGGTTGATTTGTTTTTTTCGTTTAAAATGATTTCTTTAACTAAAAAGTGCAAAATTTTTGCCTGATGTGTTCAAAATTATTAATATCAGCTCCAATTTGTTTGTTTAGAATGCTATTTCATATAACGATGGTTTTAGAGAGTTTGATGTTGATTATTATTTTACAATAGTTGAATATTGATTTGAAGTTGATGGCATCGATTTGCCCATCAATTTTTGATAGTTTCGTAGTTTACTATTGTGAAGGTAGAGAGGCAAGGATTAATACAGCTAATAGTATGTTGTTGGGCTTGATGTCTATGTTATTGTTGACTGGAAAAAAATGTTTTCAACTATAAATTTTAAGCATCATATATCATCGTAATCAGAAAATATGAAACATTTTTTTTCAATCTTCTAAAAAACTTATTATCATTTTACATTCATCATATTATATTCTCAATTACAACAAGATAATACTAATTCTTAGAACAAATAGAGAAAAACATGGTTTTTTCCTTTTTTAAATATATTATTTTTTCAAGAAATAGAAAACGTAAGGTCTGAACAAATAGAAATATTATTGCTTACAAGCTATTTTTTTAGTTCTCAATCCTTAATAATTGATGTACTTTACACATGATATTCTGTTTTTTCAACAATATATACATGACATATTATCTTTTAATTTAGTGTAAATTAGTTTGAAGACATTGCACAAACAAGAGTTTGTAGTATTCACAATATTTATGACATACATAGTTTTAATAGAAGTTTTAGATGGTTGATTTGTTTTTTACATTTAAAATGATTAACTAAAAAGTAAAATATACTTGCCTGATGTGTTCAAAATTAATAATACCAGCTCCAATTTGTTTGTTTAGAATGCTATTTCATAGAAAGATAGTTTTTGAGAGTTTTATATTGATTATGATGTAACAATAGTTGAATATTGATTTGAAGTTGATGGCATCGCGATTCGTCCATCAATTTGTGATAGTTTCATAGTTTACTATTGTAAAGGTAGAGAATCAATGACTAATTGTGCTAACAGTATGTTGCTGGGCTTGATGTCCATGTCATTGTTGAACTGAGAAAAATGTTTTCAACTTACAACATTAGAAGAACCACATATTTTTGTAGTTTACATTT